ATAAATATTTACTAACACATATTTTGGTGTGAATATAAGTAAGGTTAAATCTTTTAGACAATTGTTTGTTGCATAAAATAATTAATTAATGTCAATATATTACGATTCCTATAATTTAAGTTAACAAAAAAAAAAAGTATAAATAGCTTAAAATTCAATGATGTAACTTAAAGTATAACATTTAGGTGAAATACAACTTGAAGTTATGTTACTCTAATTCAATCCTAATGTTTGAACTTAATATATACTTTTACTTCTTCATTTTACACTGTAGGTTGCATAATTGAGATCCGATTGTAATTTAAGATATGATGATTTATAAAACTTTTATAATATTTACTAATATAAAATGATATGAAAATTTTAATCTAAAATAATTTAAGTATGATATAAAATCAGAAGACGATCGATTAAAGACAATTGACAATCACACAATTATAATTTAATATCTTATATCTATTTTTATAAATAAAAAAATTAAAGTTCATATGATCTAAGAAATTTTAATAATATTACTAATATAAAGTAATTGAAAATCTAAAGTAAATAAACTTGAATGCGATTTAAAATCAATGACTTTCAAAGACAATCGAGATCTAATTATAATTTAATATCTTATATCTATTTTTATAAAAAAAAAATTAAAGTTCGGATAATTTACAAAATTTTAATAATATTACTAATGTAAAATAACTGAAAATCTAAAATCCGTTGGCTTGAATGCGATTTATAATCAAACGATCGTTAAAGGCAACTAAGATCTGATTATAATTTAATATTTTACATTTAATTTTATAAATAAAAAAATTAAAATTCAGATGATCTACAAAATTTTAAATGCGATAGTCTAATCAGTTGATCTAAAATTAGACGATCGTAAAAAAATAATTAGAAAACAATTATCATCTACATTTGTCATTATAATTAAGTGCATCCAAACATTAGTTCATAATAAGAGATTAAGCCATCTAAGATCACAAATGAAGGAATGTGTATGGAAAATAATTTCATGTGAATCCAAGTAAAAAAAGAACTGAGAAAAAAAATTAATTCATAATGTTAATTATTAAATTTTATATTTGTTTTTAATTAATTTTTAGTTTGTGAGTAGAAATTAAATTAGACAGATAAATGGGAAAAAAATAATAATATTTAATGAAAATATCATGAGAAATTGAAAGAACAGTGGAGAGAAGTAGGAGTCCCCCCCAACCCTACCTTTTTCTTCCTCTTCACTACTTATATTCATCTTCTCCTCTCTCTGCCTCTCTCTTTCTCTGTCTCTCTCTCTCTTCTCTTCTAACAATCAACTGCAAAAACCACTTTTCGCTCTCTTTCTTCTCTCTCCATGTGAGCTATAAGCTTCAGACCAGCCACGGTGAGGAGGAAAATGGGCAAATACATAAGGAAGTCGAAGGCTTCTGGTGAGATAGCTGTAATGGAGCTTTCTCAGGCCTCTCTCGGGGTTCGGACTCGGGCGAAAACCCTAGCTCTTCAGCGTCTTCAAAAATCCACCACCTCTTTGGTTCAGCCTCAACCTGAAACAACCTCGAGCGATGCCTCTTATCTCCAGCTCCGGAGCCGCCGGCTCGAGAAGCCGCCTATTGGGCTGCACGAGTCCAAGCGGCAAAAACAGGCGGTCAAGGAGACCTGCACCCAAAACCCTAAGGCTCATAAGCAAAATTCGAATTCTCGTGCGGGTTCTAGGTTGCGGGTGGGCCAGGGAGATTCCCGGTCTGCTAGGTCCGGTTCGGTTGGGGAAAAGAAGGATGAGGTTGATACCGATAATATCGGGTCGGGTAAAGGAGAGGAGGCGATGGTTCAGGAGAACAACAACGATGATAGCAACAAGGATTTGGCTGTTGAGGCTTCTTTTGGGGAAAATGTTTTGGAGATTGAAGGTAGAGATAGGTGGGTGTCCGATTCCTTTTCAATTTTTCTTTTCTCTCCGGTTTATCGTCTTTGCATGGCTGCCTTACTGAATGAGTTTTTAGGGGATTCATTGTCTTCTGAATGTGTTTTCTCAGTGGGAAAATTTTGACACACTGAGGGGATCGAAAGGGTGAAATTTTTATTTTATTTTAATTTTTAAATCTATTTGAATTAACGGGATCTTTATATTTTTTTGAAGAGGAAAAAATCGAGTACAAATGATTTTCAATTTTAGGGATTCTATGTCATGAATTTATAATTATTTAAACTCAGTTTGATTGGTGGGGGAAGAATGAATTAAAACTGGAAAAAGGTGAGGAATTTGTGTGATTCAAGCTTCAATTTTCCTTTGTTTGGGATCTGAGGAAACAATTGTTTTCACCTGACATAAATTAAGGCTGGTATTTGGTTTACTTACCCTGAGGTTAATAACTGAGGGTAACTTTTGCTTTTTTCCTTATTCAAAATCCTACTTCTAAAAGCTGTGACTTCTCAGTTCTATTATTATTATTATTATTAATTATTATTATTATTCTTCTTCTTCTCTCATGAGCGTTTTCTTTCATGACCTGAGAATTTAAAAAGTGGCTTCTTTCCCCAAACCCCACCCCTGCCCCCATTGTTTTGGTCATTTTAGTGTTTTCAGAATTAAAAGGCAAAGACAAGAAAACATAAATGCTTAATGTATGCTTATTTGGTGGATTAATTGATGGTCGCATTTTGTTGACAGTATGTTTTATAGACCTCTATATCCTATTCTGGGGATGTAAAGTTATTCAGTTAGATTTAATTTCTCTTATTTGCTTCTGTGCCTAGCCTGTGTAGGAAACAAGTTTCTCGTGACTCAATTTCTTAGAGTTGTTTCTGTTTAAAACTTCTCAACTTTATTGATTTCACCTCCTTTTCCCCCCTCTGGATCCTATAGCTTTCTCTTCACATTAAATCAATATTGGTTACGGTGGCTGTGGTCTTTTAACGGAGATTTGGTTCTTGGAGATTCCTGTTCTAAACAGAGAAATTGTGTTTGAAACTAAGATTGTTGGGTTTATTTGTTTGATTCAAAATTCTTTCCTTTTCACATATGTCTGGAACTTCCATGGCTCTAATCACATGGATTTCAAAATAAACTTTTCTTGTGCTTGAGGGAATATTTTGAGATGATTGGCATTGCATATTTCATTTACCTATTTTTTTGTTTGCGCACAAAGGTTTCAAGGGCAAGGGACACCTTGCAGAGATATGAAATAAGATGCTTGCCGGACTAGGGGCTCTATTTCTTTAAACGGGAAATAAGGACAAAAAATAGGTTCACGGGGATGAAGAGGAAGCAAGAATTTGTTTTGCAGCTTGTTGGTGTTGCTCTTTTGATGTCTGGGCTCTTCTTTCTTTTTAAAAATATCCTTTTTTCGGCTTAGATATTGATGATAAAAGATATCTTAAGAAAAGGGGGAGTAATTTTGTTGGTACAGAAGCATTGGGAAAAGACAAAAAGTAAAATGTAAGAAATTAATGATTTTTATATACATGTTTTTCCATATTTGATAGCTGTTTGTTTTTGGCTGTTTAAGCATGCCACCATTAAAAAGGACTCTGCAATCTAATCTTATTATAAGAAGCATTCTCAGATATTGTATAATCTTTAGTTAGTTGCTTTGCTTTTGGGGTGCATGTGAATTAGTCAGTTATCCTGCATGATTGGTGAAGAAAGATATGGTTGATGTCTTTAGCTTATTATCAAAGTGAAGTGTCTGCTTTTATAATGGGTTGTTGATTAAACTACCAGCAGCTCCGTAGTGTATTTAATAGCCTTTATTCTTTTGAACAGGACTACCAGGGAATCCACTCCTTGCAGTTTGATAAGGGACCCAGACACCATAAGAACCCCAGGTTCTACAACTAGGCCTGCCAGTTCAATTGAAACAAACAGGAGGGTACAGGGTTCATCGCGACGGTACATACCAACAGCACATGAAATGGACGAGTTCTTTTCTGGTGCGGAAGAAGAGCAGCAGAGAAAATTTATTGAGAAGTATAGTATATTACATTTATTTGCTCCAAGCTTTATGAGTGTGATAAAATTTCCAAATATTGTTGTTTAATTTGATTTGATGCTGCCTGCAAGTGCATGGTTGAGGTGATATGTAATGGAGGTTTATTTGCAGGTACAACTTTGATCCAGTGAATGATAAGCCGCTCCCAGGACGTTATGAATGGGAGAAGGTGGACCCCTAGACCATTGAATCAGGCCTTACTTTCCTGCAAATTCTCAGTTGGGATTTGAGCTTAGAATTTTTAACCAGCAGGAATTAGTTATTAATTATAAGGGTGATGGCGCTATTTCCATTTTCCATCGCCTGTTCTATTTACTTGTAAAGAAAGTAGGATGCTTAAAAACAATGTGTAGACTAATGGTCTGTAACATAACAGAGGTTATGAGTGTTACAAAAACAAGATACAAATGGAAGTCCTTTGTCTAACAGATCATCTCAAGACAGAGAAGGGGGGAGACTGGGTTTTAATCAGGGTTTAGGATGAGTTTTTAATTAGGTGAATCAGTGTAATTTGGTACAGAAATTTTACTAGATTTTCTTTGTCTTTTGTACTGTAATTTTCTCTTTCTCTCTCTCTCTCTCTCTCTCTCTCTCTCTCTATCTCTGTCTATACTTGTACTGATGGATCTTTAAAAAGCTCTTTGGAATAAACATGACCCCTCACCCCCCCTTCACTTCTTTATATTGTCTTTTCCTCTATCATTTACCATGTTTTATGTATATAGATGATCAGCTGAGTTTTGGCTTTTATGTCTCCATGTGAGACAATGGAACTCTCTTCAAGCTTTTAATGCTGAGTTGATGAATGCTGCCAGTCACCTTTTTTTTTTTTTTTTTAATAATACAAGGAATAATGTGAGAATGGGCGGTGGGTGGTGTTGCTGCAAGTGGTGATGGTGGTGGGGGCTGCTAAATTTCTGGTGATCTGTTGATAGAATCTTATGTAGCCATCATGTGGATTTGTTTTTTTTTTTTTTTTTTTTTTGGTGTGTTAGTGTTAAAAAATATAAATAATTGATTTAGTTAATTTTTGTATTAGTTCAAATTTTTTAAAACATTAATTCAATTAACTCCAGGTTATTACTCTACATAAGATAGGTAATGGGAATTTGATGTAGATAGCTGTTTTATTAAGAGAGCTTTTTAAGTTTGAACGAATTTCGAAACACACATATAATACGGTGACTTAGAAAGTCAATTCAAATTCCAAAGTGCTCCCTTCTTTGTTTCAAAGAATTTTGTCATCTAATTTTCAAGCAGCCATTTACCAACACTTCATGCACCTATGGCTGTTGCTCTTTTTTTTTTTTTTTTTTAAAGAAAATTATTTGAAAAAACATGCAGAAAAAGAGATGAAATTTAATAAATAGGTCGGCATATATATATTATTATTAGTTAATATAAAATTTAAATTTCAAATTCAAACAAAGTAATAAAAGAAGTTCAAAGGTACATTACCTTTTTACCTAACAATATCTTCTGTGCAATTGACATCTTCTCTTTCTTTTTTTTGGTGTTGTAATCTCATAGTTTGAAAAAAAAATTATATATAGCTTGAAAAATGAGTCCAATTATGTGTATGTGTATGTGTATTTAAGTCCAATAATTATAGTAATAATTTTGATACCCATTGATTGTTTGACACCTGAAACCATTTTTTCAGTTGTTAAATTTTTAAAACAATGCATGCATCTGTACAAATACTTTAAATTCTTATTTTTTAAAAAAATTATATATGCATGTATACAAACAAATGAGCACATATAAATGACATTGATAATTACTAAAAGTAATTACTGGGAGCTGATAAAATGATATTGATAATTTACTTTCAGAAAAAAAAAAAAAAAAAAGGTAAAAGAAAAAAGAAAGAAAGGTAGATCTAAATGAGCAAAAAAATGTAGTAGTACTTGACCCATGTCTCAAACCGAGTAGAATGACAATTGACACTTGCTCTTTCTCAATTTCACATCTTAAAAAACATGTGGTGATGTGATCAAGTTAAAAAAATGGTAGGACAAAGTTGACCCATTGATGAATAAATTTTGGATTCTTCTTGTTTCTTGATCTGTTTGAAGTGGGTTATCACTACTTTGGACATTTCTGTATCTTTTCACTATGTGTGAACTATAAACAAAACCTGCCCTCTACAAGGGCACTGTCCCTTTTTGGGTCTTAAAAAGCAAAAAATTGATAGTTTTTATTTCGTGCCAATTAATACAAAGAAACAAATATATGTATATATATACTAGTGGTGATGTTGCAGTTGCATGTATATTACATGTCATTCGTATATGTGGTCCTAGAAAACTTTCTGTATTGATGATGACCATAACGTGATGCTTTTTCTCAATACCCAGAAAAGGATTTGGTTATATATATGTATATATTGCAAGTTATGATTCTTGGGTTTAGCTGAATCCTTTGCTTTGAGTCATATAACTTTCTGTGTTGATGATGACAATTATGTGGTGCTTTTTGAACTTTCAGATAAGAGTTTTTGATGAATCATGGTCCCTGGATGCTAAGCTGAAAAATCTTTTACCTTTTTGTGATATAGAATGTTGGTGTTGTGGATAAAATGCTTTTGTAACTTTCTTATGCCAAGAAAGCAATTAGTAGAAAATAACAGCATTGATTCAATGTGCCAAATTAGAGCAAGAAGCCAAGGATACATTCAAGGAATGCCACTAAATTTCCCAAAAAAAAGAAAATTATACAAGAACAAAGACACGAGGACAACAGGCTTCTAATCTTCAAATAAAGATAAATCGATTTTTCCCATCTAAAAAACAACATTACCTAAAACAGATAAAGGTCAGATCATGTGATTTCTTTAATTTAGGCATTTTTTTTAGTTCTGTTAACTCATATTACACACAAAGTTCTCCCAGAAAATTTGTCATCACCAAGTTGAAACAATCTGCAATGTAATCTTTATTAAGGTGGGTACTGAGAAGTGCTAGAGTGAGCAAAGTACAGGCGTTTTCCTGCTTCAAATTCTTTGAGAAACACTAAGTTGAGATGATATGCAAGCAGTGAACTGACATCTAAATGGCTCATTAGTTCTTTATCTGCCTTCAGCATTGACTCTCAGCTCTAAACTAACTACACCTAGAAACCCAGTAAGGGATACGACAGCAACTGTTACTGGTTACCTCCTGAGCATTTCCTTTCACCTTTAAGAGTAGCACTAGTGAAAACCAAGAAAGAAAAGGAAACAGAAGAGTTACTCTACCTCTAAAATTAAGAGGTAGTTTTTTGGTATTACCATCGCAAGTTGCAAGCAATAACATAAAGGAGCAACAAAAACAGTTCCTCAATAGTTACCATAAATAGAGTACTGGTTTTGTATCACAATTACAGGATCTAGACCTTAAGTTGACTTGGTGTAAATGCGGACCCCGACTGCCAACCCCAAGATTGCAAGAGGAACTAAGAATTGGAGGAGTTTGACAATGAATTCAGAAGTCTTGTCCGGGTTGTATTGAGCTTGCTTTGGAGGTTTATACACGGTCTTCTTGGGGATGGTTGAAGCATCGATTTCTCCTACATAGTATTGGTCCATCATTTCTCTTGCGGTGTTACTATGACCCACATCTTCAAAATCATCAGTTGCATCCTTCCCTGCAAGACAAATACATGGATAACTTTTATGAAAATATAGAAATAGCTAGAAACAAAGTCAACGTGAACCAGCTTCCCATTCTAAAATGAAAACTTGAACTAGCTTTCAGCAAGTGTTGTACCCGTCGCAGACAACAAAACTTCATCTCCACCAGGGTGATCTTCCAAGAATTTTGTCACATCATACACCTGCATAAAAGAAATTAGCATGCATCTATAATGGATAAGGAATCAGCTAAAAAGTCATAACACAAATCATAGGCTAAAATCATCATTACTGTGGGTTCACAACCTTCCCATTTACGTCCAGTGTTCAGAAATGCATTGACTCCATTAATTTGTTTATATTTCCAGCAAAAAGAACCACAGACTCCATTAAAGGATAATGTTTCAATTTCCAAAGGAAAATCAAACAACAGACAAGTTGACATATTGACCATAATCTGCCAAGCAGATGCATTCAATTTTTAGAAACTAATGGAGGGTCTGACTTTCTTGCCAGCATTAATATGGAATATGACTAGAACCAGATTCAGGTTCTTGGTCGAGATCCATCACCTTCATTACAACAGGCCTAGTTCTACATTCAGCAAGAGGAGGATCAAAGAAAAGTTTATGATCCATCCAAGTGGTGTAGACTTGGTCACTGGCATAGCCCGTGAACAGCAAAGGACCAATAACCAAGGTAGCTCAAAAAAAGTTCACCTGATTTTCAATTATAATGATAAATCATGACATACCAGACAGAGTTGCTGGAAGCTTCATGTCAAGTCAAATAGAATGGTGGTAACCAAAATTATTTCTCACAACCAAAGGTTAACCTGTCCAAGATTGTTGACATATCTGAACCATAAACCTCTAGTGCTGGAAGCTTTTCCGATGAAGAAGTACAAACCTTAAAATGTCTTCCGCAACAACTCGACTCACACTGATCTACAGACTACAGCGACCTTCTCTAACTTTACAAAGTCAAGTATGACATTCTCACTAATCTTAAAAAATAACAAGATAACATGTGAAATTAGAGATTCAGAGGCTTATTACCATATGATAAGCTCTTCAAACTTTTTTGAAAAAGTATACACTATGCCTAGGCAATGATAAGGTCCTATCACTGGTTTTCCAGCGCTATCTTGTACGTTTTCCATTAGATTATCTTCTGTCATACAAGCCCCAATTTTTCCTAATAATTTTCTATGCATAAGTACAATCATAAATGACTTAAATTATAAAGTGGAACTCTACCTTTACTGTGTTTTCAGGCACTGAAAATAAGGAAATTGATTGGCCATGGTAAACTGCAAGATGGGCCTCATGTGTTAGTGGATAACAACTATTAGATTCCATATAGAACCGGAGATATGATTGGGAAAACGGTATCCATTAATCAAAACATTATCCAATATATTGAAGATTAGGATCATCATTTGTTTCTTTAAAAGTAAATTTATCCTATTATGTCTTAAAAATGCAATTCAGAGTCATTAATCTATGATGCATGTAAATTTCCTACTAAATTGTTCACTGTCTGGATATACGTAGGCTATTACTTTTATTGACTGTTATACTAAAATGACTTGGGTATAACTCTTACATGCAAAAAACAAAAGAAGTTTCTTGTTATATGTCATTTTCATAAAGTAGTTTGTACCCAGTTCGACACCAAATTCAAAACTCTCGGCTCTAATGGATAGGGTCTTCTGTTAGTACACTGACCTCCATTGGATAGTGCACCAACCTAGGTATATCAATACTAGCCCCTCAGAAGGGAGTTCTTGAGAGAAAGAATAAGTACTTATTAGAGATTGCTAGGACTTTCATGTTCTACATGAGTGTTCCAGAGTCCTGTTGAAGGGATGTAATGTTGAAAGCTGCCTATCTTATCAATTGAATAGCATCGAGAACATTGCATTTCAAATCCCCAAAAATTTTTGCAAGATATCAATTTTTCCATATTATCCCTCCTACAGTCTTTGGGTGTGTCTATTTTGTTCATACAAGACACGTGGAAAAATTGGATCTTGAGTGCTCAGGTGTGTTTTTATTAGGTATTCTACTACACAAAAAGACTATGAAGACTATTACCCTTCCGTGAGGAAAATATTTGTAAGAATGGATATAATGTTTTGAGAATATGAACCATATCTTTCTCTTTTCCAGTTTACTCTTCAAGAGGAGACTAAAGAGAAAGAAAAGGTAACTTTTCTTCATCAAAAGCGCTCTTCCCTATCCATAACAATTCAAATCCTAGTAAAAGAATAATGGTTCGAACACTCTTGCCCATAGCGAACTAAACAAGGATGATTTGAGAACTTACACCAATAGATACAAGATTGTAAAGCAAAGTTTACCTATCCAAACGTGGATAGTGGATTAAGTTACCTAGAGAAGCATCCGGTAAGTGCATTGCTATTCCTAATTTTTACCCAGATTCAAGTATTAATGATCTTGATGTTTCTATTGCAGTTTGGAAAGGAACTTGTACTTGCATTAAGCATCTTTTACCTAATTTTGTCTCCCATATCTCACTATTAATGAACCTCTATATCAACATTGTCTTTTGTCTCTATTCCACAAGGTTGGCAGGAAGCCTTGATGAGTTGAAAGTAGAAAGTAACTATGCATTATGAGACAAGAACTTCAATGAAAAATGTGACACGGGAAGTTGTTAACCTTCCTTTAGGAAAAAAACTAGTAGGTTGCAAGGGGGTGTTTCCTGTAACGCATAAAACTGGACGAATTGTCGATAGATTTAAGACCTGATGAACAGAGAAGGGGTTTATCTGAACGAATTGGGTTAACTATTAAGAGATGTTTCCTCCAGTCAACAAAATGAATACTATAAAAATACTCTTATCATGTGTAGCTAATTGTGGCAGAGACTTGCAACTACTTAATGTTAAAAATTTCTTTTGCATAGAGATATAGATGAGTTAATGTGGATATTCCTCCAGGGTTTGAGATCGATGGGAGTAATAGTAAAGAGTACAGGTCGAAGAAAGGACTCTATGGACTGAAGCAATCTCCAAGAACATGATTTGGTTTAGTAATGCCAAGACTTCATTTGGGTATCACCAAAGCAATGTTGATCACATTCTATTCTCCAAAAGTTGTGATGGTAAGATTACTATACTTCATTGTCTATGTTGATGACATACGACATGAGATTATACAAAAGTAGCAAAACCAAAAGGGTCTCTAACTCGAGAATTCAAGATGAAAGATTGGGAAAACTCTAATTTTCTAGGCACCAAAGTGACAAGATCGAAAAGTGGAGTTTTCATCTCCCAGCATAAATATGTCCTAGATCTTCTTGAAGAAACTAATATGTTGGGTAATAGATCTGTGACCCTCCCATTGGAACCAATCACAGGCTGAAATTGGAAGGTATTAAACACTACCTGGGAGATTATTCCACTTATAATATATCAGGTTGGACATAGTGTATGTTGTAAGTGGGGCATAAAAACCGGAGCTGGAGGCAGTTTATCGAATTCCCAGATATTTGAAGTCCACTCCAAGAAATGGCCTACTGTTTTCCAAACATGATGTCATGATAAAAGAATTCGTCGAATTCCCAGATATACATTGGGCTATTATA